GAAGGATTGTTTTGGTTTCATACGTATTAAATTTCTGGGAGTTTAGCATGACCTGTAGAGTATGAGACATCTTTCTGGTTCCAACTAGCAGTTGCATTATTCCCATGACAGAGAGAATAACTCTAACATAAGGAAGAAAATGTTGTTGAGTGAATCCCAGGATGGCAGCAGATGTCAAGTTAGTATTGTCAAAACATCTGCAAACTACTCTGGAGGATTTGCTTTTTTTTTGTTGTTGTTGTTTGTTTTTTTTCTCTGTTCTTCAAATATTTGACTCCAAACACTGGTAAGATGTAGTCACTTTAGAGAAATAAGATTAGAGATGCTGCAGTCTGTCTACTTTACTGAAGTGGTCCAACTGTCCCTTTTCCCCCAATGTGAAATGTGGATATTTCTTCCACAACAGTGTAAATTTCTAAATTTCTAAATTTCTTTTCTCTCTTTGTTATTTAAAGTTTTTGTTGCATGATTACATATGGTCATTGCATTGTTTTATAGGAAAAAAAAAAAAAGCTTTCCGTGAAGCTTTCTGTGACTGTGCAAGGAGACAACTTTACTCCAATGGTCACCAGCCTCAACAATTGCTAATGAATGTAGCTGAAATACATTAATTGTCTTTTACTCTTAATAACCTAAAATATGCAAATTATCAAGGTTGCCTGTTTCTGAGTCAGAAAACATTCTGAAAGGAAATCTTTTCCATAGAAAGAGAGAATGACAGGTAAAGTAAATGAAGTGTGTCTGCTTAGAAACAAGTATTTTGTGCATATTTTTTTCATATGTTGCAAATTAACTACATCATATTTGCTTGGAAATTACAGAAAACTGAAATACTGTACTTAGGGCATATTGGAACTTACAATGCAATTATTTTTCTTGCTGCATTTTTATAAGTGCTTGCAAGGTAAGAGTGCAGGAAGGAGATGCCAGTGGTAGTATTCTTTGTTACTGTTTTGACATATGTTTATTTCCCAGAAGTCAAATATATATTCTGCTTATTTACTGTTCTGGCATCCCTGTACCATGCAAAAATGTGAGCATTCATACTGTTGAGAAGGTAGTGATTCTGTAAAGAAGGTGAAAATTCCCAAGAAGAAGCCCAAAAGGTCTGATGGGCTTCTTAAAAAGTGAAACAGAAAAAAAGGAAGAGCATCTGGGGAAGGTTCTGAAAGAGCAGGCAGAGGTAGGAGTGGGGCTAGGAAATGATGCAAGTGAGGAAAGAATATGTAGAGTCCACAGGGGCAAAACTATCTTTTCTGTATGCACCTAGGCTGTCTGCCCACAGCAATACAACTAATAAATAGTACTCAGAAGCTACCCATGGAATACAAAATGCAGCTTAGTATAACCTTCTTAAAAAGTAGAGGAATAAATACCATCAGCTTGAGTGCAATACTGTAGCTGTATGAGATGCTTTAAACAGAAGCCTATTAACTTCTGTGGGTAGCTAGAAATATTCACTGCCGTATGTATTGAACAATGCTTGGACATTTCAGTATATAGAAGTCTGTTTGTTAGTGTGTACCAAATTGCAAATTCATGCAGTTCTACTTTTTGTTTTCAGCAATTAATTGAATAAGAGAGAGCATTTTATGTTTTACTTTTTGATACTTTATTTCCACCACTGTGGTAGAACCTCCAGTTTGTTTGAAACTGGTAAAATTGCCCTGTTTGGGGCAATTCTGACTGCAAAGCAAAACCAATCAAAAATCTTATAAAAAGCTTTTGAAGTTCATATCCTATAAGTAGAAAATAATAAAGTAGATGAGCTCACTCTTCACAGGTAGAACTCAGATCTGCTGAAATGTATTGAATACAGTGTATTGTAAATAAATCACCTTCCTTTCCACACTAGCTCTTTGAGGAGTGTCTTCTCCTTCAAGCTTTTGCTTTCCAGTTTGATGCCTTCCAGTAGCTGGCTTCTGTTCAGACTTCACGGGCTTCTTGGCTCAGCCAGGCTTGGCAAGGGTTTACTTTGCCACTCAAGAGACCCCTGCTCCACTCAGTCTGTGTGCCTGGAGATTGCTGGCTGGCTACCAAGACTGCTGCCTTCTCCCATGCTGCAGCTTGCTCATTTACTCTCTGAGGGAGCAGTCACCCTCTCCCAGAAGGTTTCTCCTGACTCAGAGTGCAAGAGCCAGGACTATACAGTCTGGCAGCCTTCCTTTCTCTGATCCAACTTCACCCTTTTAACTATATGTAATGAACAGAAATGGAAACAAACCAATTCTGGCATACACCACAGCTATCAATTTCACAGGAGCAGTTTGTGGCTTTCTAAACAGGTATAGATAAAGATATAGATGGAGATGGAGATAGAAGAATGGACTTTGAAAGTAAGAATCTAAAAAATCTCCATGTATGTGCTAGCCTTGTCTAAGCAGCAGTGGTACTTTTTATTTATTATTATTATTTTATTTATTTGCTCTCCAGTCTGTCTAGATTTGAAATTTATGGCACGGGTTATCAATTGCATTTAGACTTAGTACCTATAAAAATGGCAAACAGCTATCCTTCAAAGGAGTATTATGTTGGTACTATTTTTGTAGCATTTTTTTGCAAAGTCTCCATGTTGGTATTTCCATTACAAATTTCTTTTCCATGCTTTCAATAAATATTCACTCCAGGCTGCAACAAGGGATGTCTGATCTCAGCTCTCAATCAGTGGTTATTTTTACCCATTTTCCAGAAAATTGATTGAGCTGATGATTTCACGTTGTACAAAGGTTAAAAAAGGTGTGGAGGGGAAAAAATGAGGGAGGGTAACAGTAGGAATTTAATCCATCCAGTTGGTTTGAATTTCAATTGTTGCTTTTTCTCTACCAGTAGATTAGAAGTGGTTTGCTACTGGTATCATCTGTAGACTGTGCTCTAGTGGAATTCATTACACTTCTTTTCAGTGCCTGAGATTCTGCATATCGCCCCATCTGTAGGAAAATATTTTAACAGTGAGTCTTTATCATGAGGCAATGGCAATTGAAAATCACAACAGAATAAAATATTATGTAAGATGATATACTGCATTATTTTTTACACAATTTCTGCCTCAGGGAGGCAGAAGTCACAGCTTTCAAATTATGGAAAGCTAACGTATTTTTTTGTTTTGTTTTTAATTTCCTATTCTGTTTTCCAAATGATGGGTGTGGGAATCAAACTATTTGGAAGCATTGGGTCATTTTGAAAGTAATTTTTTTTTTTGGAAAGGTCAGTAATGTGAAATGAACTACCATTTTATGTCTGCTCAGCTTGCATCTGACAAGAATTGAAATGCTGATAAATGAATTCTGAGTCTCTGTCTACTTCCTCAAAGATAGCAACAGCTTCACTGTTGTGGCTAGTAAAGCCACAGTCATCAGCTTTGTCTGCTATTCTGCGTTGACAGGAGCTTGCTTCTATGTATTTCTAGTTTTCTTGAGCATCTTTTCCTTGGTTGTTATATCTGCATATTGGCAATACATAGTTTTTCATTTTATGGCTTTTGTTTTGCCTGCCTGTTTGTTTAATATTGCCCCTGCTTTTCATCATTACATGCATTTTTTTATTATATATTAAATAATTATTTACTTCTGCTATGATTGGCCAGAAGATGTCTCAGATATGTTTGGAATGTGTCCATTACACACAATCTCAATCACTTTGATGTGCCTTGGAGCAGCGCATGGCATGCTTGTGTGTCAGGTCTGCTTAAGCTGTCGCCTTTCAGTCATCAGACCCTGCAGAAAGTAAGTCAAGCTTTAGCTGACCTACCCTGAAATAACCAATAAATTCATCTTGAAGTCATTGTAAAGAAACCTGAGTAGTAGCCTTAGAAGACAACCAATTTAAGTGACATTTTTGCTGAATCTCTGCTGTAGCAGCTTATTTTGGTGTAAATCTTCCTTTGTTGACAGTACTTGGGGAGTCTTGCAATGGGTCAGAAACATCCAGATTTAGTAGCAGAAGAAACACAGTAAAGATTCATTTTTTATCATTGGACAGATATAAATGGTAGATGAAACAAATTTAAGAGCCTTTGGGGACTTTCGAAAGAGGCGAATGAGAGCAGCCTTAGGGACTGTGTATCTTGGTTCTTCTCACAAATCAAAGCATAGGTCTCCTGGTAATTATAACAGTCCCATTTTACTTTGACTATCAGAGACTTACTATAAAAATAGACAGGAGATTCAAACACTGTCAGGTCAAAGATTTGAGTCTAGCAGAACTTCCTGAGTTATAGAGGCTTTTGTATTGTTCACGTAGGAGAATTACAATGTTTACTTCTGATAATAGTATTCTTGTGCTGCAGAAAGAATTAATTAATATATGTGGATTCCTGAAACAGCTTTATTCCAAAGAAATTGAATGTTTAGACATGTTTTGACTGTTTGCAAATAGGAAATGTGGGTTAATCTAAATACGAGCATTAAAATAGTTAAGAATTAAAAGCTTTAGCTGAAGTGTCATTTTGAATTCAAGTAATCTCCCTGTTGTTCTTCCCGCTGTGGTTTCAGGCAAACAGCATTTTGTTAGGAATGGTTTTCTGATAGAAGATCAGGTTTCTAGACATGATAAAAAAGTAAAACCACTATACTCAACCACCTCAAATAAAATAGAAAATATAGTTTGTTAGTAGATGAAACAATTCTCAATATGAATCCAAGTTTTTAAATACTTGCAACAATACTTTTAGAAAGGAGTCATTTTAGGCACTGAACAAAGCTACCAGGTGGCAGAAATCAGTTATTTTTGTCAGAGGGAGACCAAAGGTAACTGTTAAGTCCCTTAGATTTTTAGGTTTATATGTATTACAAGTAAGTCAGTTCACAATTCAGAAACTTGCTAAACTCTTGTGCATTGTTCCATAAAGAAAACAAATTACTATGCATAAAGATAACTGTGTTCATATCTCTGTATTATTTAGTGTGACTTCACTAGGATAGTTTACAGAGCTTCTTGTGTAATATACCAAGCTTTGCTAATGTTCTGCTTTATACCTTATAATATTCATTTCTGTTTTTCAGCTCTGAGGGACAACAGAATTGAGCTGGTTCGAGCTTCATGGCATGAACTGAGTATCAGTGTCAGTGATGTGTCTCTGTCAGATGAAGGGCAGTACACCTGCTCTTTATTTACTATGCCTGTCAAAACCTCCAAGGCTTTTCTTACCGTTCTTGGTAAGTATAAATAAGCAAGCATATCCACGTTAAGGAAGCAAGTGGTAAACTTCTAAGGCTATGACAAGTAATGATAAGAATGAACTCTTCTAAAGCTTTGCAGAAGAGATATGTAAATATCTGATCTTGTGTCCCTGAAACTTATAGTTTCATATGGCTATGCTGAAAAATAACATGCATCTTACTGTTTGTGCTGGGTCAGGATAATGAATTAGTGAGCACACAAATACCACAGTATGAGTGCCCCTCAAAATGGATTCAAACTCTACATTCCAAGCACCAGAAGTGTGAAGAAAGCACATATGTTCATCTCCTACTTTATAGGGCAAAGGGAAGAAAATGAAAAAGCATGAAATTAAAACAGGCTTTAGAGTTTTATAGTCTTTTCCTGAGTTGTGCATTTTCTTAGCTTGCTCTGCTTTTTTTTTTTTTTTTTTTTTTTTTTTTTTTGGCCACATAGAGCATATTTTCACTGGGTTTGCTGCTTCTTTTATGCTTTATCCTCTAAACGCTCTGCTGTTTTCCCCAAAGGTTATAGATACACATAGAAAAGCAATAGATATCTAGACATACCCAGGAAATAAAGTTTCTGCTGGAAGCTTTATATGATTGTATGAATGTCAGTAGCCCAATCAGCCAAAATTGCTATTGTTCATTGAAACACACCTGCGTACCTAAGAGGTTATATGATTTTAGAGATTGATTTTATTCTTTTTTCCTTTTTCTGTCTCTGAACTTGACTCTTTTTTTCTTTTTGTTTTAATTTTATATATAGACAGGCACACAGCTGAATTTAATAGGACTAACTTAAGATGGTCTCTGTACCAGTAATATTCACATTAATCCAGCCAGGGAATTGGTTTTGTGCATAGGATCTGAAATACATCTCCTTTTCGGTCCCTGTGAGACTGTTTTACAAAAATCTTCACAAGTTTGTCGTTAAGGACAAAAAATACACTCAGAACAGAATAGCAGAATATTCTGGAATAACAGCTGCTTGAGGTTAATCTTCATTTCTTTAGAGAGGCATCTCATGATCTAAACAACAGATGAGTAGACCAGTTCAAACTTTGAAATGCTCAAAAGACATAGAAACGCATTACAAAGGCAAAGGCAGAACAAACATATAGCTCTCTTTTATTAACCAGAGTAACTTGATCTTCCATGGTCTGTTTAGTTTCACCTTTTTTTTTTTTTTTTTTTTTTTTTTTTTTTTTTTTTTTTGCGGTGGGGGGTGTAATTAAATTTAAATTTTCCCAGCATCAGATACTTTCCTTCCAAGATGCCTGTCTTTTTTCATTTTAGAATTGTAATTTTCTGTTTTGAAGTAACGTTTTGAAGTCTTTCCACCTAAGAATGATATATTTTCCATTGACATGTATCTTTTTTAATTGTTTTAATCAGATAAACTATCTTTTTATGTACTAATAATCTCTTTATTTATTTAGTGTCAAGGTATTACAGTAGACACCACTTTGTGTCTTGAAAGATTGGAGTGGATTTATTACAGAAATGTACTCTGTGATAGGTACTGCTGCTTGGTTTTTATGTACATAATCTGTCATTTTGGAAAAGAGATGTAAACAAGCCAAATTGTGAAATACAGGGCACAGGATCAGGTACTGTGACTGATCCTTTTATCTAGGCACTAATATGAATGCATCAAAGTGCTTCAGATGCAAGTTACAACAATGACATTTTCAGAGATTTTAAAATTGTACTCATCAGTATCATTTTAAAGTAGGTTGTTCTTGTGTTTTTGCAAAGTCAAATGGATTTATACACATAGTGATGTGTTTTTTTCTTTCTAAATGCTATTCATAAATTTGTTTTAAATTTTCTATGATTGATTGAAAAACAACCACTTCCAAATTAATATGATGTATATGGTATTTTGTGATCCTAAGACCCCTTCCAAAGAACTTGGATTCAGCTAAAGAATTCTCCATAGCCAATGGACTTGTGATTATACCTGGGTTTTTTATTTTGTTAGTATATTTTCTGAAAATAAAATAACTACTGTGTTTATTTTCATCTTCCTTTTTCCCTGGATTTTGTATTAAAATCTTCATAATTTATGCCTAAACATCAGTTCTGAACTTAGATCAGTTCAGCTTTTTGTTGACATGTTTTTGGAGTTGTACTGCCAATGTACTTTAGCATCCTGCTTACTGTGCAGACCAGTTTAAAACTTGTAATAAGTCAGACTAGACCTGTATGCAGAATATATTTAGATAAGATACAAATGATCTTATTTCCTTAGAAAGATGGATACTTTCTTGTTATTTATTTATTTATATATTTATTATCAACTAAATGTCATGTTGGTATTTTATTTACAGTAAGAAACAGTGGCATTCAGTTTTGATAAAAGGCAACTAATTACTCTATTTTCAGAATTTAGAGTACATGAAAAAAATAAGTTTAAAGTGGTCATATATTTATGTTAGCAGTTGAAAATATCAGAAACATTTTGCTTGTTTGCTTGTTAGGTGTACCTGAGAAGCCACAAATTACTGGATTTACTTCACCAGTTATGGAGGGAGAGAGGATGCAGCTAACTTGCAAGACATCTGGTAGTAAGCCAGCAGCTGATATCAGATGGTTCAAGAATGACAAAGAAGTTAAAGGTATTTGAAAGGACTCCCATGTAATTTGATCCAATTGTCAAAACTATACATTGTTTAAAATTATATTTTTAATTTATATTTGTAAAAATAGTTTAATAGTTTAATATTCAACTGTCAAATGAATTAGTGATAGTATATAGATAAGGAATTGATTATGAATTACTGTAGTGGACATATAACCAACATTTTATTTGTATCTTCCAGTGGTAAAAAATGATGTATTGAGTTGCTGTGAACTCTGCTCAGCATATTAAACTTAATGTAAATGTTTCATAGACAAATGTTTTATGGAATTACTGTTGTCACAACAGTAACACTCACCTCAGATATTTTACCTTTTCATTTCTTTTTACCTTTGTCATATGACATATGTCTGATTTAGTCAGTTGCCAGTTTTATGTTATACTACCCTAAGTGACTGGGTGAGGCAGAACTGTCTGGAGGAGATGGGAAAGTATACTTCCCATGGGGAGTTATGGAGTCTGCTCAGGTAAGGAGTTGTAGCCGTTCTTAGCAGTCACTGGGAAATTTGAAGAAATTGCTATATTATATTTGCTATATTATATTTTAAATCTGGTGTAAAAACTTTGCCTTTCTCTCAACTGATGTGTATTTGAAGCTAAACCAGCAATGTGGCCATTTGGCTCCTTAAATAATTTTCTCTTCTCAGCAGATCCTAAATGGATGTTTGTTTCTTTTTAAAGAGGGGCTGGGGAAGGAACAATGTTGATGTGTGAAAAAAAATGGTGAAAAGGAAAAAACAGAAATAAGAGGAAAGCATTGAGCACATTCATTTCAGTTTAGTTTTCTAGGTCTTCTGAAGAGCACATTGCCATTTCACAAAGGTTAGAAATAAAATAACCTAACCAGTTTGCAGTGGCATCAGCAGAAGTTACATTAGCTTTGTGCACTGTAAAAGGTGAAATGATAAATCTGAGAAAATAGATATGAAATTATATGCTAATGCAGCTGACATTAAAGGTTAGGAGTTCGTCTGTCTAGCACCAGTAAATCCAATTGTGTTACAGTGTATTATACATGGTGCAAAAGAATATAAATGATGCCTTGAGTTCAGAGTTGCACCAAAGGGGAAAAAGGCATTCTAAAATTGTAGCTCTATTGCTATTACTCAAAAAAAAGGAATCATCATGTGGTAAAAGAATACTGTTTCATAGAGTAAGTGCTAGTAATAAGAGAGAGTGAATGTGAAGCACTGAGTATTGTACTTTTTATGTTAGCATTCTGTCTCTCATGTGCACCAAATTAACAAAAGAATCTGCAGTTTAGCATTCTAGTTACCTTTCTAGAAGGAGATTATTAAAAACACAAATATGGGAGAAGCTAAGTATGCATTTTTTTTTTGTATAAAACATACATTTTTTCAATAAAATTAATTGCATGCTATATCAACAATATTATGAAAAATATTTCTTTTTAAGTTTCAGGAATATTTTTATGTATTTTCTTTCTTTTTCTAGGAAAATTGAGTTTCAAAAATAAATAAGATAATAACAGTTCATTTTGCCTCAACAGATTAAGATATTTTGAACTAGTTTATATATGTTAATATACACAAAGTATCTACAAAAGCATTGAACATTTTGTCTTCATAAACCTATAGGCAGAAGCTGGAAGTTTTTTTAGATAGCAAGGCCATTTCATAGTAGAAGTTGATTTTGAAAGTAAACAAAAACTATATTTGCCTTGTAAAACAGCAGAATTTTCACTTTAAAAGATCTGTGTTTCTATATGAATGCTGTAAGCATGCACTCTTATAAATGACTGACAATGAACAATGTATGACAGACATTCTAACACTTCCTTTTATTATTTTCATTATCAAACATCTATACCTATAAGCTATAAACCAGTGTTAGATAATCTGAGTGTATCTGTATGTATGCCTATCTGATAGACATAGAAGGGCCCCAGAGTAGGCTTTTAGAGATCAGATGACCCAACCTCTGTTCAAAAGTTAGATCAGATTGCAAAAGGTCTTGCCCGATTTGGTTTTGAAAAGTGTGCAAGACAGATTCCTGTCTGTAAGTATTTGAAAGTCTTTACTGGGGATAATTTTCATTATATCTAGATATTTCATGAAGCATGATCAGAATTTGCTATAGCGTAACTTTTGTTCACTGCCTCTCAATTTTTGCTGTACATGTCCAAAAAGATTTGGTATTTTTGTTCCCTATTACTATGCATTAAGTATTTGAAGATAGCAATTTGTCTTCTATTCATCAGGTTGAATGAACCCAACTGTCTCCAACCTCTCCTTATACATTGTCTGCTTCAGCCACTGACCATCTCTGTGGCTCTTGACTGAACCCACTCCAGTTGGTTGACATCTTCTTAACCTGTAAAGCCCAATATGGGTGTCTTACTGTAGATGCAGCCACACAAGTACTGAACAAAGAAGAATAACTATTTCCCTTGCCTTCTTGGCTATGCTATGTGTAGTGCAAAGCAGTCTCTTTTTAGCCTTCAACCCTGTAAAGACACACTGTTGACTAATTTTCAACCTGTACTCACTACCCCCAGTTCCTCTTCTCTAAAGCTACTTTCTGTCTAGGCAACCCTGAGCCCATTTGGTTATAATCATATCCAGAAAAGGTTCCTTTGTAGTGGATTTTTTTAGCCTTTTTTAAGGAGAGGAGTAGCAAGAAAACAAGTGAAATAGGCTACAATAGACATATTTACAAATTATTTTAAAACTCTATTACTAGGGTTTATTTAAAAAACAAATTATTTAAAAGTCCTAGGTAAGTATTTTGAAAGCTAGCATGCAGTAACATGCCCACTGCTTGATCTCCACTGCTATTTATATGGGCTTACATTGTTAGTATATGTTACAATCACACCTTCATTTTAGTATGAAGAAACATCCAAGAAGATACAGCTGGTAAAGTGGACAAGCTAAGTAGTTCTGTTGATGAGGATGTCAACAGTTTATAGAACAGTAGCACCATCTTTTTTACAGTAGTAATTAAGGGTTTAATGCCTCCAAATAAGAGGTGTCCAGAGAAATTCTTATAAACATCCACTTAGGAAATCAACTGTTTTTGTTTTTCTGAAGGATTAAGCATCCACAGCCTCTCACTGAAATGAAAGCTGTTGATGTTTTCAGGAGCTGTCTGTCCTCTCTCTGAAGTCAGTAAGCAGTGGCGTGTGTACATTACTTACAAACAGAAAGCTATGTATATACATGTAGGTGGTTATTATTACATTTTGAAACCTAACTCTTGGAACAAAATCTCATATGTGTGCTTCAAAAATTAGTAAGACATTTGTTTTTTTGGTTTTAATAATTTTGCTTTACTCTTGGTCAGACCCAGTACAATTTCTCTCACCTTCTGATCTCTAAATATTAATTGCCACCTTGGCAGATATTTAATCTCTTAAAGCTTAGCAACCAACTTAGAAACAAAATGCTTGTATGCAGGAAATTTCTTAGGGAAAAACAAACAAAAACAACATAACAAACAAACAAAAAAAAAGAAGTTGTGTAACTATGTGGTGTCCTATGTGGTGTCTTCATTTTTCTGGAGACAATGACAAAAGGCCATCTTTCTCATTTCAGAGGTATTTTTAATCTAGAAGAAACATAAGCCATTTAAGATTTGTTTTCTAAAATTGATCTTTCATGGAAATTTTATGTAGGTCATCTTCTTCTCTAATGGGATTTCGTATAATTTATAAAACTGAAACCTCTCACGTTTTGTTTTTCATTTTTTTAGGACACAGAGGACATATGCAATCTCGATGTAATTTAAGATATATATTTATGTATTTACACATTAAATACTAAGAGGTGCTCTATTTCTATTTTTTTCTATCAACGTTAGTATCTATACTTTGGTTTAGTTTAATTCATTAATTAGCATAATTCTAGCCAAACAGAATAAACAATGAATAAAGTAAGCACAGGATTAATGCAGGCAATCCTTAGTTCACATGGCTTTAGTAATATTCATATGTTGCATTACTATGAAAGATTATAAGCACTGGCATAGAAAATTTAATATTTAGTGACACTGCAAATACATAAGGAAAGCAGGGGTAGGAGGAGACTGCACTTTTCTGAAGAACTGCAGAGACAGTTTATATCAGATTTGGACCTAAACAAATGAGAGACTGGTGATAGAAATTGCCCTCTGAGTGCAGTATCATGTTACCAGTTGTGAAATTTTTGATTTCAATGTGTATCTCCTCCTCTGATAATAGAAGAAAATTGTGGAATAACTGCAGTCTAATTACTTGTGGTTTAAAGGGATCAATATAGATATAAAAGGTATGTTTTTTCAACAAGTGTGATAGACAGTGTAACTGTCTGATGTTGGACTGTTTTTTTTTCCTGAAAATACTCAAAACAAAAACATTTGCTTGTTTTCTCTTTCAGATGTTAAATATTTAAAAGAAGAAGATGCAAATCGTAAAACATTCACAGTCAGCAGTACACTGGACTTCCTTGCAGATCGCAATGATGATGGTGCAGTTGTAAGTTGCAGAGTAGATCATGAGTCCCTAAACTCTACACCTCAGATAGCAATGCAGGTTCTAGAAATACACTGTAAGTAATACACATTATATATGCTTACCTTTATAGCTTCGTTTTGTTTTAGAGTTTCTATTGTAGGAAAATTATAAAAATCTCTGATACAGTGAGTACTGATAACATCTTTCTTTATGCCACTTTGTTTTTTTTTTTTTTTTTTAATTTCAGGAGTAACTAAAGATGTTAGTGAGCCGTTTACTAGTGAAAATACCCTGAACTATGTTCCTGGTTTGCTTTGAAAAATGGGAGAGAGGAAATGCATTTGTCTTTTTTTGATTATCATTGTAGCAATATCAAAGAGGGCTTTAGAGTGCTTTAACATCGATCATAGTAGTCCATGACTACCCTTGAAAATATCTGAAAACTTGAAACAAGGGTATGAAAAGAAGCAAGTTTTCAGCCAGACTGCTTCAGGAACTTTGAATCCTGCTAATGAAACTCTGTGTAATTCTGGAATGGCAAAAGTCTAGGAGGAAGAGCCCTTTAAAATGTATTTTTAGGACTTCTATCCTAAAAATGTATTTTAGGATACTGATGTAGATATGCTCAAAGTTTGAATGAGTCTGCCTATGTATCTGTGTGTACTACTAGAAAGTCGTGTTGTCCTTCAAGTCACTTTTCTCACTTATAAATTATGAGACACTCAGGAGAACATCTTTTTCACCATCAGATGACATTTTCATATTTGCTTGCGTTATATCAACCATTCTTCAGTGTACTGTTACATGGGCTTCTGTAGAACACCTGTACTTGTTTGTTAGCTGAAAGAGACATTTGCAAAATATTGTCAGAACAAGTGAAGGGGAGAGACCTTTCATAGATCTGTTTCTAGGGTAGGTGTAACCAAAGGAACGTATTATAAAGCAGATAAGCTTGTCCATAAGGCAGACAAGTTTCCAGTAACTGCAGGTAGTTCCCAAGACACCATGTCAAGGACTGCTGGCATGTGTAACTTATTTCTAAACAGAGGAATAGTTCTGTAAGTGTCTAAGACTTGTAGCATACGTAAAATGTGATGGCAAAAACACTCCGTGCATAGAAGCTGACAGCATTGCTAAAAATGCCATCTGCAAGAAGTCTGAAATGATGCAGATGTGGATTAGTATCCGTAAGTATGTGTACTGAAAATAACTATTTTCTGATACATTCTGTGCATCACTTTACTGAGGGAGATCAAAGCCTTTCTTCACCAAATGACTGTTAAACACCTGCCTCTCCTAAAATGTTCTAATGACATCTGTACTAGAGACGTGAATCCTTAACAGCTTTATTTCCATGAATTCTAAATGCCATCACCATCAGCCACTGATCTGGCGCATGCCATCACACCCAAATTGCTAGCTCTTCTTCTGGTGCCCTGCTCAAGATGTTGGCTCTACAGGAGATCTACCAAATCGAATGGTACAGTAGATACAGAAAACAGTATGGTACAGTATAATGATACAGTAGATACACAGGGGGTTTATAGGTGGTTTAAACTGAGTCACAGTGGCTGCAGTATAATGTGATTCAAGGTAAAGGAAAGCTTCTGATTTGTGTGAGTAACATAAGGCAGAAAAGCCTTTCTGTCATATACAAAAGTCATGTACAAAATTTCCTGAATATACACTGTTTTTCCCTTTGCACCCTAGGCAGCAAGATGCTATCCTACTAAACACCAGCAGGGAGCATCTTTCCCTTTGCCTGTTGCTTCTTTTTTTGAACAAGACCCTTCTCTGTTTTCTGCACATTCACTGAAGTTCTTCAACAAGGACAAACTGCACAGGGTGTTTACAATCCCTGATATTCTTTATATGCTATGCTGCCCCCTCAGAATGACAACTTACCAAAAGCCATAAGGCACAATTAATTATTCTCTATCCTTCCTGGTTGCTTCATTAATTTTCCACTAACCAATTTAATGCTCTCCAGAACATTGTGTAATAGAATCATTACACATGGAAATATAAGTGAGAAATGTACCAAAATATGCCTAGGTTTAGAAGAGAGGGTAGGAATGCCATATAAAACCATGGAGAAAGCAGTATTTTATTACTGGTGACAAGGAGACTAAGAACAGTCTATTGTCCTTTTCCTTACCACTTACAACTTCATGGTCAACATCTCAGCAGTCTTACCTGGGACAAGGTTTTAAAAGAAATTTTAGGAAAAGAGAAAGATGATGTGGTTCAGCAGAGAGCCTTGAAGGAAAAAGTACAGAAGGGTGATTTGCTAGAGCAATCACAAAGACTTTGAATGGCTTACATAGCACTGGAACTGAGGTCTTTGATTTTATTCTCCTGCTTGTCCTCCTCTATTGCTCACCCTCACAGCTGTGGTACTGCAGTCACTGGAAGCTGATTTTTACCCATCAATTCATAAGATACAAACATGGTAGAGATATCCTACTTGTATTAATAAGAGTCATGCTCACAGGACCCAATGTATGAGATGATCCAATACCAGCTGACAGCAGTTCAAAAATAGTGCTGACAAAACAGATGAATTAACAGGACAACATGAGAAACATCATAAGAATTTGTTAATTTGAAGTCCTCTAGTTCCAAAAGTCATGCTGCCTAAAATCACAAACAAGTAGTGTGGCATTGCTCCATAGGGTATTTGTTCCAAATGTTCCGGTGTACTTCAAATGAGGAGACATCTTGGAAATAGTATGATAAGCAAGTATCTTAAATGGGTGAAACAGAATGGTACAGATGGATGTTAGTTTGCCAAAGAATGGACACAAAATTGATTTGGTATCACCCGCTAGAACTGCACTTGGTTTTTAAACACCTTTCTAAAATCTGAGGAATTCTATCTGTGGATAGCTCCTTTACCAGTGCATCATGACAGGTTAGAAAAAAAGGGAAATAATAAATTACCTACCTACTTAAGTTGTTTTCTGCCCTGTATAATTATGCTTGAAAGTAAATAATAATGATAATAATAAAAACCTGCTTTGTTTCAAGCAACTATCCCCTGATAGTGGGCAAAGCAAAAAAGATATATATAAAAAATAAAAACAAATTAAAAAGCAGTAGGAACTGAAGTATTGTGTTTGTATCCAGTAGGTAAAAAAAAAAAAAAAAAAAAAAAAAAAAAGCAACATAATGTTTGGAATGACAGGCTTTTTTTTTTTATTTATTTATATCTACTGAATGATAGAATAAAATTAAATCTGTCTTAGGCAATCAGACTATATGAAGCAGGTATTTATAATGAGTCCACAGAGGTCTAGATGCTTTTGAATCCACACAACTGCTTAACTGCTTTTGTCTTTAATAGGAAGTACATTTAAGAATACTAAAGCCCTAAAGCCAGTAATGCCATCAGCAGTTATATCAATATGCAATATACTTCCCCTCACACAAATCTTGTTGTTTGTTTTTTTTTTTTTTTAGTGTGATAGAGCGATCAAATCAGCTTTCACCAGTAGTATGACTGTACATTAAATTGAGCTGAGAAGTGAACTTAAGAAAAAAAAGGTCGTAGTGGTAGTTGTTTTTTTTATTATTATATTTGTGTGTGTGTTTGCATATATACATATGTAATAGAAATACTTTCTGAGTCTTTCTGCTGCTCTTTTATTTTTTAATAGTCTGGTCCAGAACTGGAGATTATCTGTATTACTTACAGCTTGACCAAAAGAAAGGTATCTTAAAGGAAATTGGGATCAGTTCTTGTTTTCACAGGTCTTTCCAAATTAATTTTGCAGACTTAAGATATTAAAATAATATCAATGCTATTGGGGTGAGCATGCTCTACCCCAGTCCAGACTGTGACATAATTAGCTTCTCCAATCTACTGAGCTTTATTTATCAGTAATTTGTGTTATGTCTCACTTGTGCTTAAGCCTGTTCATCTGTATGTCATGCTCTGTGCACTGCAGGGCAGCCCAATGGCCCAATTGTTTCTCTTGTGCTGAAAGGTTCGGCCATAATTTACTTTCTGCTTGGCCAGCAGAGGTTTGTGGTAGCATGACACTGCTTGCTGAGTTTATTTTTCCTCTGACCCTTACTGTCAACAGTAAGCCTAAAATAGACTCATATCCCCTGCGGCTTTGCTCAAAAGTTTGCTTGTCAGCCTAGCTGCCACTGATTATTAGGAGGTGCTTCTTGTAAGTGGTAAATACAAATCTCAGAGGGATGTTTTGTTTCATTGTTTACTTCTGCTTTCAAACTAAAATAAGGTGTTCTTCATTCCTGTATTAAGGAATCACAGGTGCAGCACTTCAGTTTTGAAAGCTTCTCAGTGCAATATTTACAGGATTGTATACTGTAAGTCCTCATGCGCACTCCTAAAAAGACACTTTGAGGGCAAATACAACTTCTGGTCCAGATCTGGGAAGTGAGTGACTTCTGCTCATCCTTCCTCATTGTCTCAGAAGCAGCATCTTCATTTTCCTCTGGGTCTTTTCCAAGCAGAAGCCAGCCAACATGTTACTTCCTACTGAACAGAGTGCCATAAAATTACCCAGTGGTAATTACCTTACCTTAGTAAAAATCCTCTGACTACAGTAAATTACCCAGCAGACCTCAGTAAAAATTAATTGTGTAAGTCTGCCCCAGAGGCTACTTTGAAACTTTAAAGTGAAATCAAATCATTTGAACTTCAAACCTAATCATCGTAATTCTAAAATGGCATCTGTGATGCGATTTGTGCTGACGGACACAGGGAAATTTTGCTCTAAAACTGACCACACTCCCAAATGACAGCACTAATAAGCTAAATATGTGTTATGTAAAGAAGTGTCTAGAGAAGCAATTTTGAGTAAATTCTATATTGGCAGACACAGATGTGCAGTGAATTGTCAGTCTGACAAGTCTATAGCCATAGTTAACTTGCTTCTATAGGCTATTCTAATGATATTTGTGTGATAGGCTGTTCCTTCATTTGTGGGTTGTTATTAGATTCTTTTGCAATGAACATCTGAACTTGGCTTTAAAATTAGGCAGCTATTCCAAGAGATTGTTGGCTATTGTCTGGGAAATACAGCTATTGATTTTGCATTAAATAAACAAAGCACCTCAAAT